CCACCACCACCACCACCACCACCACCACCACCACCACCACCACCACCACCACCACCACCACCACCACCACCACCACCACCACCACCACCGTCCAGCACTCATTACAACAAAGCGACATGTCAGACGTGTTGGATAAGACGCTCAGAGGAGTGCATTGGCAAACATCACGGCAGGCGGACGTTTGTGATCGGTCTGCAGCTCGAACATCACGAGTGGCAACGTTCACCGCGTGCCCCACGAAGTGAATGCAACATTGTGCATGCATCAGTTTGCGATCACAGTTCAACAGCTGGTTCTGATTCTGCGCAAATTACGTGACCCACAGCATGATGGAACGCACAGGTGCGAGTCACCTCCTCTCCTCATTTGGATCAGTGGCATTCGTTTATTCAGAAGGACTTTCGCCATTTCGCTGTTTTGTTTGACTGTATTTTCCTTTTCCATAGAAAACCGGCCGCTGGTACCAGACAAGTGTTTGACATGAAAGTAAAGTAGACCAATGCATCCTGAAATAAATTAAACTTTCAGTTTTGCGATGGAGATCAGTTCTATGGACCACGCGTGTGGAAGCAGTTGACAATAAAGTGATGCATTCCACTAAATTAGGACACTGCAATAGAAGATCCCTCTCCCCGTCTCATTACTTAGGTGGCCTTGCAACAAATCCCATATAGATCAGGTTCATGGTTTGGAAGCGGGAAGTAGTACCTTGCCTGGATTTTATCGCAAGCACACCGCATCTCAAGCCTAGATCATCCCTTATTGAGCACCTGTTGTTCTACAAGACTTGGTTTCTCCTTGGACGTCCATTTCAGATTGAAACTTTGCACACAACGCGCCAAATTTTGCTTAAAATGTCAAGGCAACTAAGTTATTTGCCCATGAGATAGTGTAGCGGCCGAATAAGGAGGAGCTCCGGAAAACTCGGGAAGACCTGAGTTGGAATGTGATGGCTTGCGGTCTTTCGTATGGGTATCTAAAGAAAACTCCTCTAAAAGTCGCGTAACTCTATCGTACACACTAGCGAAGGAAAGGGTTGGAGTGGACATAATAGCGACGGATGCACTGATATAAAAGTTTATTAGTAAAACGTTGGTGACACGGTAGAAAAATAAGTTTAATGCGATCTATGACGTAAGGTAAAAATAGTGGGTACAGATTACTTATCAACTAAGAGAGTACAACTTAATCCTATGATTCGATAAAACGTGGAACACGGGAAAAGATTTGTTAATGGTGAAATAAACGAGACGGAAAACAAATCGGCAGTTTGGCCTGTGCAACGCAGCCGCCACTTTCCAACGTCTTATGTATCGCGTCCTTCAACCCCTCATTCCAGACAAGTGTCTCGTCTACCTCGACGACATTATAGTGTTTGGGAGGTCTATCGACGAACACAACCACAATTTGCTCGCGGTATTGGAAGCCCTCCGCTCCGCTGGTCTGACCCTTAACCCCACGAAGTGCCTTTTTTACCCCGCGAGCTAAATTTTTTGGGTCACTTAATCTCTCCCGAGCGCATTTCCCCCCTGCCTGACCGCATCCAATGTATCCGCACGTGGCCAGCCCCCTCCAACCAAACGGAATTACGCAGTTTCTTGGGGTTAGCATCATATTACCGTCGTTTCATCCGTGGTTTTGCTCATATCGCCAACCCCCTGCACAAACTCACGGAGAAAGGCAGACCCTTCGTCTGTTCGGACGACTGTGCACGTGCGTTCACCGACCTCCGCGCAGCCCTGTGCTCGGCTCCCCTACTTGCCCTCCCAAACGTTGACGACGACGCACCCCCATTCATATTAGACACTGATGCCAGTGGGTACGCCATCGGCGCCGTACTCTCCCGAGCCGACGCGAACGGAGTAGAGCACCCGATCTGCTTCGCAAGCAATACTCTCACTAAACCACAGAGGAATTATTGTACCTTCCGTCGCGAACTCCTGGCGATCGTTGTGTTCCTGCGTCAATTCAAACACCTGCTGGTCGGACGACGTTTCGTTCTCCGCACAGACCACAGGGCCCTGCAGTGGCTGCGGTCCTTCAAGGACCCCATGGACCAGCTGGCACGCTGGCAGGAGTTCCTTCAGGATTTTGACTTTGAATGCCAATACCGCCCGGGCCACAAGCATGGCAACGCAGATGCCCTTTCCCGCTTGCCCCAAGTCACTGACGCAGACCCCGATATACAGACAGCCGGTGTTAACGCTATTGTCGTGTCGGAGCCAACACGCCACGAATGGGCAACAGCGCAAAAACGGACTCGGACACGGCCATTATTTACCGCCACATGAGTCTAGGGCTTCCCAAACCTACCGAGCGGGAAATGAGAGGCGCCAGCCAGAGCGCCTGCCTATTGCTCAACCAGTGGCCCTACCTCACCGTAGAGAATGACATATTGTTTCTCCGCGACTCCACTTCCAACCGGTTACGTCCCGTCGCTCCCGGATGCTTAGTAGAGTCCGTACTCACTGACCTCCACACACAGCTCGGGCACAGCGGCCAACGCCGCACGGAACTCGCTGCTCGCAGCCGCTTCTGGTGGCCCCAACTACGTTCGGCCGTACAACGCTTCTGTCAGTCCTGCGCCACATGCGCTACGTTCAAACCCCCCTCCCCCTCACCGCGTGCCCCGCTGCAACCTATGACCACTGGCTTTCCGGGAGAGCGTGTCGGCCTGGACATTGTAGGACCCTTTCCGATATCGGTTCGCGGGTTTGAGTACGTATTAGTCATGGTGGACTATTTCACCAAGTGGGTGGAAGCAGTGCCACTCCTCCGCCAGGACGCGGCATCAGTCGCAAATGCCATTAGCCGCACTTGGATTAGCCGTTGGGGCGCCCCCTTGTCATTCCATTCCGATTGCGGCGCTAAGTTTCAGTCCCAGCTCCTACAAGACGTCTGCGAGATCCTAGAGATCCGCAAAACCCGAACTACCCCGTACCACCCCGAAGGCAACGGTCTTGTAGAGAGGACCAACCGCACGCTGCACGACCTCTTACTGGCATTCTCACGGGACGGGCACGAGCACGACTGGGACGCACATCTACCTCTGTGCCTGCTAGCTTATCGCGGAACAGTACATTCTTCCACGGGGTTCACACCTCTGGACTGGCCGTGACCTACGCCTCCCTGCCGACCTTCGCTACCCCCTACCCACACCCGACCCGTAAACACTACACGAGTACGCCACACTCCTCCGAGGGGTCATACGCTCAGCTCATAACGCTGCCCGCGTTGCATTGGGAGTTGTTACCCAGCACCAAAAAGAGCAGTTTGACCGCCGCACCGCTGGCACCCCACACCAAGTTGGCGACCTGCTGATGCATTACAACCCCCTATCCCCACATGGCAACTCCGCTAAACTCCACCACCCATGGCAAGGACCGTTTACCGTACTCGACGTGCTCGCCCCCACCACATTCCTGTTACGCAACGCCTTCCACCCTGATTTCCCCTCCTTTACGGCACACTTTTCCAAACTCAAACCTTACCGAGGGCGCCTACCCAATTGCACTCCCGATTCCCTACCCGTCATCCCCCTAGACCTAGTTCCCCTGGTAGCCATCGAGGTCTCCGTCCCTTCCCCCATCGACCCTACCAGCACTGAGGACAGTGCTGTACCTAAAGAGGGGGGCGATGTAACGACCGATTGTTTTAAACGGACCTTTTTTTACTTCCCGCCCTCCCCTTTTCAGAGTTTGGGTCACGTGGATCGGAGCTGACGCCAGTCGACACATCCTCCGCTAAGTCCCCTTTTCCTTATCGTTTCCGTTTTCTTGAACTGCCGATTTGTTTTCCGTCTCGTTTATTTCACCATTAACAAATCTTTTCCCGTGTTCCACGTTTTATCGAATCATAGGA